GCGGTTCCTGCCCCGCTTCCCGGCTCCCGGAGCCCAAATAGCGGCTCCTGCTTCTCTTCCCGAGACCCAAATCCCCCCCCAAACGGCTCCTGTTTCTCTTCCCAGGACCCAGATCCCCCCAAACGGTTCCTGCTCCACTTCCCGGCCCCCGGAGCCCATCCCAGCCCGGCAGGGACGAGCTGCTCCCTGTCCCGGCAGGGCGGGGGGAACAAACTGCCCGGTGTCCTCCAGGAGATGCTGAGACCTCCTGGGCTTCCTCCTCCAGAGACCTTGGCAGGAGTTGGGCTCTGAGTGGGGCCAGCCCCGGATTTGGGTCCCGCAGGCAGGAGCCCTGGGGTCCCTGCACACACAGAGGAGGTTTCTTCCCTTACTTATTTCTGTGCATCCTGTCACCTTCCCTCCATCCCTGGCCGTGCCTTTGGTGCCCACCTGAGTTCTCTGGGGAAGTGGGAGAACTTAGAGATTCCCTTGGGGAGATGAGGGGGGGAATAACCAGGGGCTTGCTGGGATCTGGGGACCTGCTCCTTCAAGCTGAGCAGTTTTGCTGCCCAGGGTCAGTCTGTCCTGCCTGAAAGCAGCTCTGAAGCAGCTGTCTGTCTGTCCACCTCTCTTCTGTGCAGATAACTGAATCATGGGATGGGTTGGGGTGGAGGGAACTTAAAGCTCATCTAGATCCAACCCCCCCATGGGCAGGGACACCTCCCAGCAGCCCAGGCTGCTCCAAGCCCCATCCAACCTGCCCTTCAACACCCCCAGGGATGGGGCAGCCACAGCTTCCCTGGCCAACCTGGCCCAGGCTCTCCCCACCCTCACACTCCACAATTCCCTCCTCAGCTCCAACCTCCAGCTCCCTCTCCCACTTTTCATCCCTCCCACTCATCCCATCCCTCCCTGCCCTTGGCCCAAGTCCCTCCCCAGCTTTCCTGGAGCCCCTTCAGGCCCTGGAAGCTGCTCTAAGGTCTCCCTGGAGCTTTCTCCTCTCCAGGCTCAACACCCCAACTCTCCCAGCCTGGCTTATGGAATCCCAGACTGGTTTGGGTTGGAGGGACATTCAAGATCATCCAGATCCCCGCCCCCCCATGGGCAGGGACACCTCCCAGCAGCCCAGGCTGCTCCAAGCCCCATCCAACCTGCCCTTCAACACCCCCAGGGATGGGGCAGCCACAGCTTCTCTGGGCAACCTGTCCCAGGCTCTCCCCACCCTCACAGCCAAGAATTCCCTGCTCATGTCTAACCCAAATCTCCCCTCTCTCCCTTACAGACTCATAGAATCACTCCGCTTGGTTAAGACCTTTTAAGACCATCAAGTTGAGATGATGCTCAACTCGGACCAGACCGAGATCGACCTCCCCCCATCCCACCCCGAGCCCGAGTCCGTCTTCAGCGACCGCTCTGGGGGCACCGGGGACGCTGGAGGAGGGGTGGCCTTGTGTCCCCAATCCAGGGTAGGTGAAGCAGGAGAAGCCCTGAAGAAAGACCTGCAGCACCTGAGCCGGGAGGAGCGGCGGCGCCGGCGTCGCGCCACGGCCAAGTACCGGACAGCCCACGCCACGCGGGAACGCATCCGTGTGGAAGCTTTCAACATGGCCTTTGCTGAGCTCCGGAAGCTGCTGCCCACCCTGCCCCCTGACAAGAAGCTCTCCAAGATCGAGATCCTCCGCTTGGCCATCTGCTACATCTCCTACCTGAACCACGTGCTGGATGTCTGAGCCTGTCCCGGCTCGGAGGGGTTGGCGCGTCTTCTTCGCCTGGACTGGGCGGCCGAGCCCAAAGGTTGAGTCTGTCTGTCCATCCGGGGGTTGATCCATGTCTTGGGGCAGCCAGAAATGCTCTGCTTGTGTTCAGCTGTCTGTCGGGAAGGACCCAGCTGGTCCCCTCTTCCTGAACCACGTTCTCTCTTCTTTCTCCACCGCCAAGTTCCGTGTCCGTCAGTCCGTCCTGCCCGAGTCAGGCTGGATGTTTGTCCCACCCGCCGTCTGTCTGTCCTGCTGGATCTGCTGCTTGAAGCCTGTGCTGGCCCTGCACCTTCCCGGCCTCTGTCTGTCCTGCCACTGACCCTGCCAGGGGCTCCTGAGCCCACATTTCTCCACCATCTCTTCTCCCCATCCTGCACTGACTCTGTCTGTCTGTCTGTCTGTCTGTCTTTCTGTCTGTCACCTTCTAGAAGAGCCAGAAAATATGGACCTGGGAGACACTGCAGCCCCGAGCAGCCCTGGGGGGGGGGTTGTCCATCTGTCTGGCTGCTCTTTCTGCTACCAGCCCCC